AAAACATTTCAATGTATAAGCCAAGTAATAGAAAACTTATGCGAATCCAATGCACTTAATAAATGTAAATCCTATACGATGTAGAACTTGAGACGCTACTGAGCCTTACCTGATCAACTGCCCTATTAATTTTCGAACAACCACAAATAGCCCGTACACTACTTAGGTTCCCACAGTTCGATATAGTACTAATTCAGCGGTGGTCCAAATTCCACATGATTAGACCAAGAAAACATAGGTAATGTGCACCCCTTTCTAGGTGGGACTGTCAACACAATAGCGGCTATCCACAATTACCACGGCCGGGGAACGTGCCCGAATTAACAAGTAGCGTTTACGGACGGGGACTTTTATTTGGAAAATATAATCTCAAGCACATCAAATTAACATTTATTCAAAGTGCAAATACAGTTAACAAAAATAGCTTAGAAAAACCCGACTAAGCAGTTCCTTAGTCCAGAGGTTTCAAGCAAAGCATCAACTAAGCAGTTCCTTAGCCCGAAGGTTTTGAGCAAAGCATCGACTAAGCAGTTCCTTAGCCCGAAGGTTTTGAGCAAAGCATCGACTAAGCAGTTCCTTAGACCCAAGGTTTTACATAAATAAACATGCAATTTTGCTCAATATCATGCTTTCCCCCCCATAAAATAATCAAAATCAGTAAAAGTGGGGCCGTGAGAACTCACTAGTTTGATGAATATCCGAAGGTTTCCTTTTGAGGCTTTCTTAGCTCGCCCGAACTTCCTGAACATACCAATAACCAGCGCTAAATTACTTAATGGTTTCTTGCTTATGGTATAGCAAAGTTGCTTTCAATGTAATGCCTTCAAGGTTTTAATAAAATAAAAGCCGATATTTTTAATATTTACTTTTCAAAAAGAACCTTCCAAAATCCACTTTATGACATCATTTTAAGTCACCCAAAACAATGATGACAGCCGCCAATTACCAAAACCAAGAGTTTTTGAGTGGGTTTGAGATTTTTCTTAAATGCTTCACAACCTTGAGACAYGCGCCCCTAAATCAGATTGCATGCACCAAGRATGACAACAATGATGGGGAGGGGTCTCAAGCTCATCATTTTCAAGAATTTAAATTCTAACACAATTTATCAACTTCGAACAAACTCCAGAAAAACAAATAAATTCCGATTCCAACGAGTTTTCAAGAGAGTAAATCCGATCAATGATGCATGCAAGATCCTATCATTCAAAAGAACATGATCAGACCTTACATGCAAGGACTCTCTCCTTATTTCTTAGATATTAAAGAACATGGGTCACAGATTATCATCCCAACGAAGACACATGCAGGTCTTTGATGATCAATCTCTCCTCTTTAAATCCCATAATTTTTTTTAAAGAAGGATGAAAACTTTCGGGTTTCTTAAGAGAATAACACAGCTCAAAACATACCTTTTCTTAAAATCTTTGAACAAACTCTGAAGAGCAGCAGAATCCTTTTAGATTGCAAGAAGATAGAACCGGCTGGATGGTGTTCGAGTTTAGAGAGAGAACAGGTAAGCTGGAAGTTTGGAGGATGAAAATTTTTATAGTAGGAGGGAGGGTATTTATATGGGGGCTTTTTGAGGAGAAATGGGCTGGCCTCTAAAGGCCCAAGCCCAAAAATAAATAAATAAAACCCCACTAATTTAACCAAACAAAACAACTAGATAAAAGAACTCCACCCCTTTAATAAAACTTGGCGAATAAAAATGGAATTTTGGTAATTTTAAATTTTTAAATACAAAACTTATAACATCGACTTTATTTTATGTGGAACATTCCAAACTATTAGGCATTGCATATCTAACTTTGTTGACTACCCGCCGGAACGTGATCCAACGAGCTAATCTTAGGAATTAAGCAAGATGATCTCTATTCATCGAAGCTAAATCCTCGAAAAACTTAATTCTCAACAAGGATCCTAAAATAAGGTACTAACCTGAAATCCCGAAGGGACGGATTGTCACATTGAAGGGGGGACATATATCCTTCTGATTCAATATCAACTTTCTCCGAATGAGAAACTGGTAGATTGTGAGCTGCATGCCCCAAGTATTATTGAAACACTTATCTGTTAAGAGTTAAATGAGTAGCTGGTGGGGTTGTGACAAGAATTGGCCTGGCCTTTGCCTTTTTCAATACTAGTCTCGAAGGAATTGAAAACTAATATATTATGTGGTATGCCCGGTAATTTGAAGTTTGGAAACAGAATTCTTATGTTCTTTTAATACTGACACAACTCTCATCAATTTTTTTGGTTCACAACTCTTGGGTAGGTTTGTCGGTTCTGACATTCCATAGAGGTATTTCTGTTAAAGCACTCAGTCCCTTTTAAAATTTCCAGTATGCTCAGTTGATCACAAGCAATTGATCAAAAGTATTATTGATATAAAGCACAATGATCAAATAAAAATTGATCAAAATGTTTTGCTTTTAAGTACAATCAATTAAGGAGTGATACGTAAAAACAGATTATTCGGTATGTGAGAGAAATGAATGAAGATCTGTAAGAACAAGTTTACGGATTCTGATATTCAAAGAATAAAGAAATGTATATCAATCAAGGTAAAAAAATATCAGAGAAAACAGCCTTTGATTACTAACGAGCGTATTATCACCAAAAAAAAAAATTATTTATGAGACGTGATAATAACAATTTTAAGAATAGCTGAAACAGGTATTTGAGTTATGTATGATGAGAAATTACATAAGTAAAATCTCAGGAAATAACTGATCAGAAAATGTACTCGTTTCAGAAAAACAGTTCACTTTCCAAAACTTTTATTGAAAATTTTCTAGAGACTCACCCTAGAAAATAGATTTAAAAAATGTTCCATTTCAGCTAAAAAAGAATAAAAAAATGGAAACATTTTTAGCACGGGTCCTAAACTGAGTGTTTAGAAACCACATTCATATAAGCACGGGTCCTGAACTGATGTATTCAGAAACCTCTATTTGGACACTTTACAACTCCCCCTGAACTTGTGCATCATAATTATGAAATTCTAATCAGCACTTTAATGACGCACCTGCAAAATCAGATCAAACAAATTTTGGTACTCGAACGAATTTGGGTCCTTCTTTGTTAGTATCAGGTTGTGGGATATTATAACTGCCAAACCATCTATTTTTGTTAGATGTTTTCAATTTCACACTTTTAACAGGATGATTATATACAAAATAAGATCCATATCAGTAATTATTATCATACCTGTTATTTTCTTTCCAATTCTTCTGAAATCTGTTATCTCTAGTCCACCTGTTGTACCTCCTCTTGTTCACAAAATCAGTAGTATTGCATGTGGAGCACATGATCCTTTTCTTGCTAAGATTTATCAAGTCAGAAGTGGATCTCACAAAACATGGAAGATTATTTTTAGTAACAACAGAATTCTAAGACGAAACAGAGTCAGACTTATTAACCCAAATGCTTTTAACTTTAGAATGAGAATTGGGTGATCCGATGACGTACCCTTGATAGTACTGATTAGAAGAATGAGAATAGTTCTCAGAGACAGTTGATTTAGGGCTGCTTGAATAACTGTTTGATTTGGAACAGTCATAAAAACTGGTTTTACACTATGAAGGAGAAGCAGTTGAGATTTGAGCACAAGAAAAGTCTTTGACTTTCTTTAAAAGCTGGTCCTGTTCAACATCAACTAAATCATACTTCTCGTTAAGTTCAGTTCTCATTCTCAGTTCTGTTTCAAGTTCTGCCTTCAGATCAGACAATTTCTTTGAATTATCCATGAGTTTACCTTCTTACTCCTTCTTAAGCTTCTCAAATTTCTTCTTCTGATTATCAAACTCTCTTCTCTCTTCATCTGAGCTGCTTTTCTCATTTTCAGAAGCAATGTCGAGCCACTTTTTCTCTTCTACAAGCTATTTAGCTATTGCTGCATATTTCTTTGCATTTACTTTTCAATAGCAAATAGCTTCTTCGCTTCGTCCAAAGCTTTTTGCTTTTTAGCAATGCAGTCAGATAGTTCTTGATTCTGGCTCAGACACTCTTCTCTGATGTCTTCCTTCTCTTTATCAGTCTTGCCTCGTTCCAAGATGATCAGTTGCTCAAAATCAAAGATCTGCTTTAACAGCATTTTAGCGTTCAGCTCAAGAGAGTTCATCTTATTTTCATAAGATATGCGTTCAGCTTTCAAAACTTTCTCTAATTCATACATTTTCTTCTTCTCTTTTTCAAATTCCATACTTTGAGAACTTAAACTCTTCTCAGCTTTCAGAACTTTCTCCTTCTCTAAATCTAGTAACTTCTTTAACTCACTCATATCAGTGTCAGACTTATGAAGTTTATCATTGAAGTGCTTAGTCTCAATATTATTCCTTGGAGAGTTTCTCTCAGTCTGTAGTGCACTTTTAACCTCCTGAAGTTTATCAAGCAAATCTTGCTTAATTTTGTTTGAAGTTCTTATCTCTTCATTTAACTCTTTTTCTTTCAACATCCAAGGTTTTCTCCAGTCTTTTAATTCTTTCCATGAAATTATATTCCATATGTTCACTTTTCTTTTTATGTTCCTTTCGCAAGTTGGTAATAAGTTCTTCATTAGCATGATTTTCAAGAAACACACTCACATATTTTTCTTTATAATATTGTATGCTCTTTTCCAACTCATAAACTTTAATTCTCAAGTCCACGTTCTCCTTCTCAAAAGAAACGGCCATTTAAAAAATCAGATTGATCACAAGAATCTAATGCTGTGAAATCAGTTAAAGAGATCAAAATCAATTAAGCTAAAAAAACAGAAAAACACAAAAATTGTTGAGAAATCAGACAAACAGCAAAAATTATCTAAAATCTGTAAAACAGTCAGTAACTGTTCACAACAGTTAAACACTATTAAAAATAGTCAAAAACGGTTAAAACTGATAAGAAACAATTTACGTGACACAAAACGATTCAAAAATTCTCAAACAGTTCAAAAACAGATCAAAAACAGATAAGACCAGTTCAAAACAGTTGAAAATATGCCAAGTCTTGACAAAATCGGACAAGAAACAAAATTGCATAAGCCTTTGACCGATGAACGAATCTGGATGAAACTAGTCCGGATACGAGGTTGGTATGAATCACGACCAAGGGTTGTCCGAGGAACCTCTAATCCGGACAAGATGTTATATGGATTAGGCTTTGAGAAAGAAAGTTGCGACTAAGGGATTTATCCGAGAAACACCTAAACCGGACACAACATTGAGCGATTTAAAACAAAACCGGATAAGCTAGTAGGCGGACTAGGATGATAGAAACTAAGATCGCGACCAAGTGAAATGAGCAATCCGGACAAGGTAGTGTCCGGATTAGGATGTGAGAAAATTAGGTAATCGCGACTAAGTCCTTATCCGGGAATCAAATCCGGATGATACAAGACATGAACGACAAATGAAAATCACGACCAAGTGAAGTTCGGGTGGTGAGTTGAGCGATTTACACGTAAATCGGGTGAAGCATCGAGTGACTTAGCCTTAATACGGACACAGTGTTAGGTGATTTAACATGAAAATGGCTAAGTGTTGAATGATGTAGCCTACACTGGCCAGACCTTTGTGCGGATAAGAGCTAAACCGGACGAAGTGGTAAGCGAGTTACACTTAAACCGGGTATAGAGGTGCACGATTTAGTGTCTAAAAATTTGACTAAGTCCAAACCGATTGATGCTCTAAGCGATGAACTATGAATACGGATGAACCTTCATGCGATTTAACCAAATCCTTGAGCGATTTAAGAATAAAAAATGATTAAAAAAAACACATCAAAAACACAAAAAATTCAACTTTTTCAACCAAAAATGGATCAAAATCCAGATTTTCACAAAACTTTTCAAGAACGCGAATTTTTTTTCAAAATCACTATATCGAGCAAAACTTGAAATGAGATGATCAAAATGCAAATCTTTGTGTATAACAAAGATTCGCAAAAAGATTACGCACAAGATTTCCCAAAAAATTTGGATCAAACACCTGAAATTCCAGAAAATTTTCCTTAAAACATCTTCAAATTTCTGATTTCTTCTCTTGATTTCAATGCACTCTGGTCTTGATACCAATTGTAAGTCCACTTTGATGATCAATCTTCAGAAAAGCTTCAAATATCCAAGGCAGATCTGGATTTATCATTCAAGAACGTGAGAGGAGTTTGAGACAAAAGGTCAAACCTTCAAAGTTTGGTCAAACTCTATTATTACGTAACTGATTTTTACAATGAAGCTCTTTACAAAAATTACACAAAGTAAAACTATTTATAGGGTCAAATATAAAACCCACTAGTCAAAGTCAAACACGATGTCTATTTAAGTATAGATAATTTTATCTTTCAAGAAGAATACAATTTAACACTAAAATTCAGTCCTAACAGAGCACGACAGGCAGAGATTGCTTGTCCCAAGGAACAAGAAAGAATTAGAGCAGAGGGAGAAGCCAATCAAGGCTTGGAGCACTACTCTGGCTTGGACAAAGAGGATGACCAAGAGCACTTTGATGATGTTGCTGGGTCATATACTTCAAGTGATGTAAGTGAAGAGAGTGAAGAGAGTGAAGAGGAAGAAGAACAAGATGAGGAGGGAGGAGGTGCGGAAGCTGCTCTGCCTCAGGTTGAGCCACAACAGCCTAGGATGGTGAATAGTCACATATACTTCCGTAGCTCTGCCTCAGGGTTAGCCAGAGCAGCCTAGGATGGTGAATAGTCACATATACTTCCGTAGCCCAACTCCTAGTGCAAACACATCATCTGACTCCAGTGGTCTAGACACGGAGGTCATTGAAACAGAGGTGTACACCTAAACCTAAACCTGCCAAACCAACCAGAGGTCGCATTTGCCTCTGGCTATGAAAGCCAAAGGGAAACCATGTATCAGGTATCTGTGACAACTGTCAAATTTGAAATCCCAGGTTAGCTTTTATTAAGATTATATTAGTTTTATTGAAGGTAGTTTATAAGATTAGGAATTAGTTAGGTTAGTTTGGTCGAAAAATTTCTAGAGATTCCGGCAGTTGCTTAGAAAGTCCGGTTCCGACCCGAAATTATCTGAAACG